GTGAACAGAGCCTCAATAATCTATAGGACAACATCAAGTGGTCTTAACATATACATGTAACTGGAGTCCAAGAGGTGGAAAGAGAAATAATGCAGCAAAAAAAAAAAAAATTTTTTTTTTAAATGAAATATTGGCTGAGAATGTTCAATGGGTTTGGAAAAGCAATCAACCTGCAGATCCAGGAAGTTCAGTGAACCCTAACCAGGATAAATACAAGGAAAATCATATTCAGGCACCTCATGGACAGACTGCCAAAAACTAAAGATCAAGAGAAAATCTGGAATACAGCTATAAAAATGCATACAATAATTATGTATAGGAAAACAATAATGCAGAAGACAACAGACTTCTTATTAAAATAATGCAAGTCAGAAGACAATAGAACAATTGACAACAAATGAGATTAAAATCTGTTAACTTAGAAAGCTATCAGTGAAAATATATTTCAAAATGGAAAAATAACAACATTCCTGAATATATAAAACAAAGAATTTGTTTCCAGTAGGTCTGCATTATAAGAGATGCTAAACAAAAGTATTTAGGCTTAAGGAAAATGATACTAGAATTGCAGAAAATGTACAAGGAAATTTTTACAGGAAAAAATAGCACCAGGAATGGTGAATATGTGAATAGATACAAAAGACTATTTTCCTTTTCTTAACATCTTTAAAAATTAATTGAGCCCTTAAAGCAAAAATGATAGTGTGTTCTGGAATTTATATCACCTATAAAAGTAAAATATATGGGGACTTCCCTGCAGTGCAGTGGGTAAGAATCCACTTGCCAATTCAGGGGATATAGGTTTAACCCCTGGTCCAGGAAGATTCCACATGCTGTGGAGCAACTAAGCCCATGTACCATAACTACTGAACCCACACTCTAGAGCCCGTGAGGCACAACTACCGAGTCCGAGTGCTGCAACTACTGAAGCCTGAACACCTAGAGCCCGTGCTCTGCAAGAGAAGCCACCTCGATGAGAAACAAATGCACCAATGGGCTTCCCTGGTGGCTCAGACAGTGAAGCATCTGCCTGCAATGCAGGAGACCTGGGTTTGATCAATGCAGGAGACCTGGGTTAGGAAGATCCCCTGGAGAAGAGAATGGCAACCCACATCAGAATTCTTGCCAGGAAAATTCCATGGACAGAGAAGCCTGGCAGGCTACAGTCCATGGGATCAGAAAGAGTCAGACACGACTGAGTGACTAACACTTTCATCCACTGCAACCAAGAGTAATCACCCCTCACATTGACTAGAGAAACCCTGCATGCAGCAACAAAGACCCAGTGCAACCAAAAATAAAAATTTTTTAAAAAGTAAAATGACCATAATAGCACAAAGGACAGGAGAATATCAAGTAGAATTCTATTTCTATAAAGTTCTTACAGAATACACGAAGAAATGCATTATTATGGGCAGGTAGACTGTGATAACTTAAGAATGCACATTGTAATCCCTGTTAAAGCAGCCCAAACTATAAATGGGCAGAACTAAAAAAGCGAAAGACAAAATGGAATGTTTATAAATACTTGATTAACCCAACAGAAGACAGTCAAAGAAGAACAAAGGAACAATGAAGAAAGAGGACAGACAGATATCAAATAGCAGGATGACAAACATAAAGCTACCTGCAATTATAAGTACATTAAATGTAAAAGGACTAGACTCTCCAGCTGAAAGGCAGATACTGTCAGACTTGATTTTTTAAATGGTCATGTCTGAGTTATTGGTGTATACGTAAAATTAAATGAGGTTGTGCACCAAAGCTCTGAGCAGAGGGCCTGGCCCATGGTGGGTGCTTTTTAAGTGAAAACACTCAACTTATTTTACAGTCCCTTTCCTGGAAGCCTGTCAGGGAACTTCCCATGGGGAGGTGCCACTCAGCCATTCACATAGCATCATGCCCAGCTGAGCATTCATCCAGCCAGTCTTCGCTGACAGGTGTATACCAGACAGTCAGGACCCTTCTCATTGGCATGTAGGTTACTTGTCTGCTTTTCAGGGGCAAGGAATAACCCTCCTTCTTTACCTGCTTCAAAGGAGGGAGGTAGGGAGGGGTTACGGTACAAACAAATGGATTCCTCAACCCAGGACTGGAGCTTAGCTTTCCCAGGGCTGCCTGGGGTCAATAGACTATGGTCTGTGTGGCTGCCTCACACTGCCCAGCACCCTCCCCTTTCCTGGAAGCCTGTGCCAAAGTCTCCACCAATCTCCAGTGCCCCAGGGCTGCAGATAAGACCTCTTTCCCCAAAGGAGCTCTTGTTCTCTGGCTTGGAAAGCCAGCCCCTTTCTTATTCCTGGTGTCAAGTTCCCACCAGTCAAGCCCAAGCACCTGGGTTACCACTTGCAAGTTGACTCAGGATCAGACCAGCATCTCCTGCAGCTCCTGTATTGCAAGTGGATTCTTTATCATTGTGTCACTGGGGAAGCCCTTATCCATCCTTAAAGCTGACCAATTATGCACTAGATTGTTCTACAATTGTAGGATATTTGAATTCATTCTATGAAGGGCTATTATGCCAATAGTGCTGCTATGAACATTTCCCATCACATCTTTTGGAGAACACACAGACACATGCCTTGGAGAGGAAGTGTGGGTCAGAGACTACGATGTACCCAAGTGGAGCAGACGTGACACAGGCTTCCCACCGCGGTTGTAGCAATTCACATTCCCGCCAGCGGGGTGTGAGTTCCAGTTGCTCCTCGCCCTTACCAACACTTGCCATTGTCAGTCTTCTTCATTTTCAGTTTTCTTGTGTCTGACGTGGTAATTCACTGTCATCTTAATTTGTGTTTCCTCTTAATGAGTCATGAAGCTGGGCACTTTATCATGCATTTGCCAGTTATCTGGCTATTTACTTGTGAAGTACTTTAATTCATTGCCTCCATTTTTTTCTTGAGTTGTCTGCCCCTTTCTTCTTGGATTATAAAGCCAATCTGCTCTGCCCCACAGACTCAGAGCCATAGTTGCACTGTAGGTGGTGACAGAGTTTCAAAAAAAGATATGTCCCGTGAAATGAATCCGATTTGATTTTGTATTTGCTTGACCAATTTGTCTTGGTTTTATGACTCTAACAACTGTAAGGAAGACTTCCCTGGCAATCTAGTGGTGAAGAATCTGCCTGCCAGTGCAGGTTCAATCTCTGGTCCAGGAAGATTCCACATGCCTAAGCAACACAACTACTGAAGCCCACATACCTAGAACCTGTGCTCTGCAACAAGAGAAGCCACCACAATGAGAAGCCTGTGCATCACAGCCAGAGAGTAGCCCCCACTCGCCGCAACTAGAGAAAGCCTGCACGCAGCCACAAAGACCCACCACAGAAAGAAGTAGATAATAAAATAAAACAATTTTCAAAAAGAGCTATAAAGATCTTATGCTTCATTTAATGTTGGACATGCCTCAATAACACCATGGTGAAAATATAAGGCAACAAGGAGGACCCATGAGGTCTCCTCTCCTCGTGGTAACCAGGAGGAGATTTTCAAAACACAAATCCAACACAAAATCCAAATCCAAAACGCAAATCCATTGCTTAACGCAGCTCACAGGATCCCTTCTGTCTGGGATGGAGATGAGGCTCCTCAGCCTGGCTCCCCTCATCCCGACTCTCCTGTGTAACCCACTGAAGCTGTTGCTCTCTCCTGGACCATGATCTGTTACTCCAGACCTTCTCTCTGCACAGGCCCCCAGCTCTTGCCGCTCCTGTCGTGGAGGAGCCTCTACCGTTGGCCACTTCGCCGCTTCTTTGCTTAGAGTTGATTCCTTGCTCAGACCTCAGTTCAGTGGCTCAATGGTCACTTCCCAGGGAAGGCCTCACCATGGCCCTGAAACATACCAACCCAGCTGCTACTTTGCTTCTTTGCATGATCTCAGCTGCTATTTTGTCTTTCTTTGTGGCTTTCTTCCCTCCTAGACTGCAGGTTCCGCAAAGGCAGGGACAGCATTGCCCTCCCACCCCCTACCTTTTATTCCCCAGTGCTTGGCAGTTGGTGAGTGCTCAATGCACGTTTGTTGAGTGACTTAATGACCTCTCACCGCACTGATGCTGAAAGGCAGGGAGGGCCCGAGGCAGCCCTGGGGCCCTGCTCTTCTCAACCAATCACACAAATGTCAAGGAGAGTCCCCTGGGGAGCAGCACTAGGGGCCAGGCTCGCCTCTTCATGGGCCTGGAAGACCCCTAAGGATAATCCAGTCCAGTTCGTTTGTGCTTCAAATGAGGAAACTAGGAACTGAAAAGAGGACAGAGATTGTCTCAAGTCACATGGTGCGGCAGAAGGTTGGCTGGGTCTGGGAGCCGTAGGGCTGGACACTCAGCGTTCTCTCCACTGGCCCACACTCTCTTGGAGTGGGAGACCAAGGCCAGTGGGTTCATGGTTTTCGTGATCCTGACTGGGAGCCTCAGCGTGGCTATGATTCCCAGCTGGATGCAGACAGGAGACAGATGACAAAGGCCTTCCTTGTCCTCTAGGGTCTGTCTAGATTCCCACGGGGTGGTATTGAATTCCAGTCTAGGCAAAAGTGAGAGACAACAGGAACATTCTGGAATAAAGACTGGGGACCCTCAGAGTGAGGCAGGAAGGACAATTCAGAGCCGAGGAAAGAACAGATTGAGATGGTTCATGTAATCCTTTCTGGGGCAGAGGTAGATGACATTTTTTTGTTTTTTTGGGGGGCTGTGCCACACGAGGGATCCTAAGTTCCCTGACCAGGGACCATACCGGGCCCTCAGCAGTAAAGGTACAGAGTCCTAACCGCTGGACTCCCAGGGAATTCCCCAGATGACATTTTAAAAAATTGACGTCTCCGTTGAGATGGTTGTAGATGGACGTGCAGTTGTAGGAAGTAGTAGAGATACTCCCTGCACCCTTCACCCGGTTTCCCCCGGTGGAAGCATCGAGCAGAATAGGACAGTGTCAGGGCTGGGATATAGACATTGACACAGCCCCCCAGCCTTACTACGATTCCCCAGTTTCCCTTTCAGGCTTTTGCGTGTGTGTCTAGTTCCACACAATTTCATCACAGGTTTGTGGATCCTCCGTCACAGGCAGGATGCAGGACATTTCCAACGGCACAAGGATCCCTCCTGGGGCTCTTTCATAACCACGCCCCGACTCCACCTCCATCCGCCGTGTCCCTAATCTGTCTTCCATCGCGATATCATTGTGTGACTTCAAATATGCTATCTGAAGGGAATCGTAGAGGATGTAACCTTTTTGGGGACTGGCTTTCCTCCTGGGCAGATGCCATTTTCTGAGCCAGCATCCTGTCTGCAGGACCTCGGAGCCCCAGGGGATGGCTTCTGTTCCTCCCACTTTCCAGCTGAGCAAACTGAGCCCTTGAAATTCCAGAGCCAGCACTCTCAGCGGCCACAGCAGGGAGCTTGTCTTCCCAGAGAGGAGGAGGCTTGGGCTGTGGGTTCCCCGCCCCCTTCCTTTTGCCCTGCTGTGACCTGGCCCTTCCTCCGCTGCCCCATCTGGGGTAGGTCTCTTTCCTCCACAGAGAGGCGGGGAGCATGGATCCCACTTGGCCACTGAGAAGCTGCATGTCTTGCACGGTGGCCCCATTCTCTAAACCTCAGGCTCCCCCCCCCCCCCCGGGGAAAAGGGAGAGGTGGGGGGAAGGTTCGCACCCTGCAAATCCAAGAAGATGCAATGAGGCAACGTGTGAGGAGCAGTCAGCAAAGTGCCAGGCGCAGAGTGAGCCCCCAGCACACAGCCGCCCGCCGCCCCATTTGGCAATGAATTATGTATGGCCTTCTGGCAGCCCTGTTCAATGGGGCTGTGTGCCTTCTCCAAGCTTCTCCCAGGCCTCTCTCTCCAGTGAGGGGCGCAGGCTCCCCCAGGGGGGCAGGCAGCCTTCTTTGTCTCTCCAGCAAGGACCTGTTTCTGCTTCTGGCGGCTGATGCCTCAGTCCCCAGGATGCTCATTTCAGAGGCTGGAGAACCAAGGACTGGGATCAGCTCAGGAACATAGTAATGATGCTAATAATAATATTCATAATAGTGGGACTTCACTGGTGGTGGAGTGGTTAAGAATCCACCGCCAATGCAGGGGATATGGGTTCAGTCCCCAGTCCAGGAAGATCCCACATGCCATAGGGCAACTAAAAAAATAAATAATAACAGCAGCATCAATAATAACAAGGGTGATGATACAGGGCTGGGCCTCATTGAGCCTTTTCGATGCGCAAGGCACATTTAACAGACTGTCACTCATTCAACAGAAATCAGAGTGCCCATCTGTGCCAGCTCTTTCCTAAGTGCTGGGGCAAAGTGGGTGACAGCAGAGTCCTGACTACACGGAGCTTGGAATCTACTGCAGGAGGGCAGGCAATTAACAAGGGAGTAATCGATTAAGCGACATGTCAGATGATAGAGGTTGGGAAGGGAGAGAAGAGAACAGAGGGGCTGGTGGAGATGGGGATAGACAGGGCAAGTCTTGCTGGGGCGAGTCCTAAAGGAAGTGAGAGAGGGATCTCCTGAGATGTCTAGGGATGGATATTCCAGGAAGGAGCAGCACATGCCCCAAAGGGCTCGGGGCAGGCCAAGAACCTGTGTTTCCTGCGGGCTGGCCGGTATCATGGGAATCATCAAATTTTCAGGGCAACCCTGGGAGCCTACTACAGCCATTGCTCCATGTTAGAGATGAGAAAAGTGAGCTTCAGAGGGGGTTTATATCTTTGTTCATAGGCTTTGCTGCAGACCTGTTAATGCGTCTGATTACAGGGGCTGCCCCACACTTCACTGGGGGTATTAGGAGATACGTGGTCTACGTGTAATCCTTTCCTCCTACAACTGGGAAAATTCTGAGTTCTGAACCTATGTACCCAGGGATTTGGAGTCCAGGATGGGGGGCCTCTCTGGTCTTCACTGTTAGTGCTCCCAGACCATCTCGCTGGCCTTATATCACCTGCTGGTTCCTATTTTTCTCCTTTTCCAGTCTGAACTCCCAGCATCAGATCCACAGTCCAGTGTTTCAGGATAGAGGCCAGAGGTGCATGCTCTGCACCCATGGCTCCTGACAAGGTCCAGGCTACGCCTTCCAAGTCAAGTCCAGAGAAGCCACCACTCAGCTGCATCGGTCGGAGGCAGGCCCAGAGGTGGCAGGCCGGGAGCTCATCGATGCGCCTGCCGGTGTTGGCCCCTGCAGTGGCCGAGAGAGGTGATTAGGCGTGGACGCGCCGTCTGACATTTCTGTCGATGGCCTGGGTGGGGACTGAATGGTGAGTGTCCTCCTTCCATCTCCAGCTGGTGGTGGAAGGTGTGAACAGCCCGTGGGGAGAGAGTCGGTGTAGAATCAAAATGACTCTGCAGAAGGGAAGAGCAGTTGAAGATGAGGACCGATCTGCTAGGGAAGGAAAATCCACTCAGCAGCGGCCTCCTTATGGCCTCTTCCCCAGCCTCCCTGCCTCCAGGTTTGCCCCTTTAATCCATCCTACCAAGGTTCTAGATGAATCTTCCCAGTTAATCCTCCAAACCTTAATTATGAAGGCTGCTCAGTACCTGGCCCCACTGTCTCCCTCCCAGACATACACCTGGCTCCCCCTACCTCCATGCCTTCATCTTTGTTGCGTCCTTGTCTGGAACGGCATTGAAGGCGAACTCACAGGCCAGTCCCCTATATCACAGGAGGCCATCTTTCTAAAACTCCTTAGGCCTCTGTCTCCTTCACTCAGCCTGCCCCATTCCACATCTTCCTAGTTATCCCAGCGCTGCTTGCCCAGACTCCTGAAGTCTCCTAACTGGCCTCCCAGCATTGGGTTCTGTCCCAGTGCCCAGTGGCCTGGCTGTTGAGACCCTTCCTAATCGCAGCTGCGGCCTTATGGCTCACTTGGCTCCATCCTTGGCTCCTGTATCTGTTCAGCCCAACAAAGCTGCTTAAGAGATCTCGGGTTCTCTGGGGTAACCCTGGACTTCGAGACCTTCTTACATGTGGGTCCCTCTGCTAGGAGCACCTTTCCCTCCCCCTTAACCTGACCAATTATAAATTTATTTATTTGGCTTCTCCGGATCTTGTTTGCAGCATGTGGGATCTAGTTCCCTAACCAAGGACCGAACCTGGACCCCCTGCATTGGGAGCATGGAGTCTTAGCCACTGGACCACCAGGGAAGTCACTTAACCTGCCCAACTCTTACTCATTCTCCTAGACAGTGTTGATTTAACCTCCTCCAGGAAGCCTTCTTGGATTCAGGGTCCCTCCTCTTGTCTCCCAGAGGTCCTGCATCACTCACATCATCATAATTTCTCCTCCACACTGAAAGTAACTGGTTTGCCAGGTCCCTCTTCTAGGCCACGATCTCATGAGGACAGAGTCCCACACTGTCTTCTCCAGCCTGGCTGGGGCTCATGAAAGCCCAGAAGGAAGAAGTGGGAAATGAAATACCAACACTTATTGAGCTCCTACTCCAGGGCAAGCTTTTCACATGCAGCTCAGGGATTACTGGGCCTTTCTAACAGAGCTAGGTCACCATCTGGCCACACCCAGCAGCCCTGGGCTATTCTCCTTTAATGCGTATAATGGGCATAACCCTGGATCCTATCTAACACTGTTGTGAGGATAATGGAAACAGCACATGTAAAATGTTAATCTCAGCCTCAAGTATTCAGTAAGCATTTAATACTCCTATTGCTATTCATTGTTGGGGCTCTGGAGCCATCCTCCGAGGCTTCAAATCCAGGCTCCTCCACTTCCTTGGCTTTGTTACTTTGGGCAAGTTATTTAACCTCTCTGGACCTCAGTTTCCTCATCTGTAAAATGGAACCAAGTACAGGCTTGTTTTCACTCTTTCTTATAGGGCTGTTAAGAAAATTAAACAAATGAATATGCATACAGACTCTGTATGATGCTTGTCTCAGGGAAGGTATGCTCAGTTCCCCAGTCATGTCCAATTCTTTGTGACCCCATGGACTGTAGCCTGCCAGGCTCCTCTGTTCATGCAAATCCACTTTTGTTCCCTGGATTTCAGGCTGGGGACCCAATGGGGTGAGTGTGTCTGAAGACCGAAGGAGGAGAAGGAGAGAGAGGTGTAGGGTCTGAGCAGGAGGGAGGCAGGACGGGGACCCTGGGCAGCCAGAAAGAAGGGAAGGGGTGTGGGAACCGCAGGGCATGGGGCAGGGCCGGCAGCGCTGGGAAAGCGAGCCTTGGGGAGGCGCGGGAGAGGGAGGCCTCATACCAGACACTGTCTAGACGCAGCAATTATTGTCAGCTCGGAACACCCAGGCTCTGCCGGCTCAGCTGAAAGGGAGCTTAACAAAGAGCCGGGAGAGGAAGAAAGCAGGGAGAAAAGCGCCTGCGGAGTCGGCTCCTGGCCTGTCGGGCTCTTTCTCTGCCCGGCTACCCCCCTTTGTGCTCCATCGATGTGAAAGCCAGCTCCGAGATGCGTGATAGGGACCCTGCTCCTCCTGGGCGCAGAGGGCCAGGCCAGGGTCACTGTGTGGGTTTGGGGGAGAGGGAGGAGGATGTCTTGCAGGGGAAATGCATTTTGCGCTTGAGTTTTTCTATCTGGAGGAGGGCGGTAGGAATGGAATCCCAAATCCCAGGGAGACAGCAGGCCTGAGAATTTGTACCCTTCCTGTCCTGTCCTGCAGGGCCAGTTGCCAACTTCTCTGAGCCTTTCTCTTCTCACATGCAGATAGGAGCAATACCATCACCCAACCCCATGGTGGGACATAGTGGTAAGCCCAATCCTTCTCCACCTTGAAGACCTGTGGCCCATACTGATGGGGAAGCTTCAGGGCCACAGGTGACCTGGGACAAACCCTTTTCCTTTCTAAGGACCTTACCTCCATCATTTCTTTGCCTCTGCCATTATTATGCCCATTTTCCAGATGAAGAAACTGAGGCTCAAGAGGCCAGTGCTCACAGCCAGCCAGGCAACGAGTTTGGATTCAAGTTTGTTCATTCAGCTTCACCATGACTTTATGATATGCACCCATCCTGGAAGGTTGTGTGCTAATGGTAGGTAGCAGGACTGATGGGAAAGCCACAGATCCACGTGGTCCAAGACTCTCAAGGTGAGGTCAGAGCTGCAGGTGGTCAGGCCACAGCCCCAGCCACTATCTGGAATCAGGCCTCAGCTGAGCCACTGGACGCTTGTATTAAGGGCAGCCCCAGGCTAAGCAGACCTGCCCTCCCACCCTGGGAGAGGACCAACTGGGACCCAAGGTGGGAAGTGGGCGTGGGTGACCCTGGGTTGCTTCAGCAAAGCTTCCTCGGCCCCCTGAAGTAGTTGAAAACATACAGACATTGCCCCCGCCCCAGTCAATAACCCAATAACCCAGCACTACCTGCCCCAGCTCCTTTGGGGAGGGGGTCAGATGCTGCTTCTGGGTTCCACAGTGGTTTCGTGTGTGTGTATGTGTGTGTGTGTGTGTGTGTGTGTATCCGTCCAAGACTTCCAGAGCTGTGACTGGTGGCTGAGGGCCTCCTCCATCCATCATCTCCCTTGAGCTTGTCTGGCCTGGTCAGACCACTCTCTGGTCTTGGAGGATTCCGAGGTATCCCCCAGGGCCTGCCTCAAGTGAAGGTTAGGACACTCTGTGCAAGGGACAGACGCACAGTTACTCTTACTCACCCACCCTACAGGCTGTCCCAGAGGTGTGCTCGTGACACACCCCAGTCATTCACATCCCCACCTCCAGCCTTGGGGTGTAGGCACCAGCTGTCATTGGCTCAGTCCCTGCCCCTGCTGGTCACTGCTGGGTGCTCTCCCCATGTCCAGCATTGGAACATGCCTTCTTATGCTCCCCACTGACTATAACTTGGTTTCAGACCTCTCTGCCTGCAGTCAAGGCCGCCAAGACCAGCCACAGTCCCACTTCCTGGAAGATTCCAGCATATTCCACGGGTCCTCGTGTGGTTTCCTTTGCCCTTCTCCTCTCTGCGCCTTTGCTCAGGCTGTTGTTCCTGCAGTCTGTCCCCACCCTGGCCCAACACAAACACCTGACCTCTTGTGAACCTGCTCTCTTGGCTGCCCTGTCTTAGGGGACAGCCCCAGCTGCCCTCCTTGCAGAAGCCAGAGCCTGGAACTTTTCTGGCACTTCCCTCCTCGGCCTCCTTTACCGCCACACCATGACCACCACTCCTGTCCTCTGGACCTCCCCAGTCGTGTCCAAGGCCAGCCTCCCCTCCGTCTCAGAGGTCACTGCCCCGGGCCAGGCTGCCACCACTCTCCTGGGAACTTGGGACCTCTCCAGTATCTTTTGTTCCCTAGAGCCCAGGTGAATTTTGTGGATCTGGTCTCCTCTCAGTGTGTACATGCTCAATCCTCAGTTGTGTCTGACTCTGTGAACCCACGGACTGTAGCCCGCCAGGCTTCTCTGTCCATGGGATTTTCCAGGCAAGAATACTGGAGAGTGTTGCCATTTCTTACTCCAAGGGATCTTCCCAACCCAGGACTAGAACCTACGTCTTTTATGTCCACTGCATGGGCAAGCAGATTCTTTATACTGTACCACCGGGAAAGCTCTGGTCTCCCCTCTCTGCTCTGTAAAACTTCTGAAGCTTCGGGCCGCCTCTAGGACAAGGGCTATGGTCGGCCACCCTAATGCTCTCTTGAGCCCTTGTGCCCTTGGGACCCACAAGCACGCCATTCCTGCTCCCTCCACCAGTCACTCTGCCCTTAGTTAAGCCCCTCCAGTCCTCAGGCACCCCTCCTTCCTCCTTGGGGATCCCTCCTGTGACCCCTGCAGAGATCAGCCTCTTGGGACCAGCCCTTCCAGTGCCCCTCACAGTCCCCTGCCAGCCTGCCACCCCCTGGTCATTATTTAGAGCATTATTCATAATGGTTTGTGCAGCCTCCACCTCCCCTGCAGGACCGTGAGCCCCATGTGGGCCGGCTGTGTCTGTCTTGTTTGTCACCGTGTCCCCAGCACCCTCCACGAGGCCCCCTCTGAGTTTGGTTTTAGCTTGGCTCCAACCTAAGCTGAACCCCTCCCTTGCAGAACCATATGGGGTTTTTAGGGTGGCCTTCCTTGTCCCCTCCCCAGTGATCACCACCCAAACAAGGGCAAGTCACAGGGCTGCTGTGGGCTGGAGAGCACCCTAGGGCAGGGCTGTGGCTGCCTGCTGCCCCCCACTATCCAAGCCTCAGTGCCCTGCACAGCCCTGGGTTGGGGATACCCAACCAGGGTATACGCTGCTTTCTGCTCAGGCTTGCGAAGGCCAGGCTGGGTGGCCTGGGGTGGGTCCCACAGAAGCACCCCTGCCCCCAGCCCCGAGGCCTGGGAGAGGGACCAGAGGGGTTCAAGAGAGGGGTGACATGCCCTCTGCACATCCAGTCCCCTCCCAGAGAACCCCCCACTCCCGGCTGGCTTCCCCCACTCCCACTGGCCCTGCCTCTGGCAGCAGTCCCTCCCTGACCTCCCCCCCTGCCTGTCCCCTCCCCGCTCTGCCTTCCCTGGCCCCTCTCTTCTCACCTTCCCTTTCCCTCGCCCTCCCCGCTTCCCCATCCTCTCCTCTCCTCTGCCATCCTCTCCTCTTTTCTCTGAGTCCTTCTCCCTCGCCTCTTTCCTTTCTTCTTCCTGGGTTAAAAATAATCAACTTTCTGGGAAGCAGCAGCTCCTGCTGTGCCGCCCTCCCCACACTTGGGAGCCCCTGAGAATAGCTTTCTGCGGTTCTCAACTCGAGCCCCTCCTCTCTCCCACCGCCCCCCCACCTCTCCCCACGAGCTGACTAATAAGCCTGGGCCTCAGCAGCAGAGCCAGCTTCTCGGCTAGAAAGGCTTTAACCGCTTCGTGCCCAGAACCGGCGCGCGGGCCCAGCGGAGAAGGGGTACCCGGGTCGCGGACAGCCCCCGAAGCCCGCCGAGCTCTGAGTGGCACGTAGTAGACGCTCAATTAATTTTGGTGGTTCAGTGAACTTTGACCTGTGACCACCAGACTGGCCCGTCCAGCTGCTTTTGCAGCTAACTTGGGGCTTGGGGGCTTTTGCAGCTAACTTGGGGCTTGGGGGCAGCGAAGAGACATCGCGGACACCCCAGGGATAGGGAGGGGCTGATGCTCTGGGGCCAGCATGGAGGGGGTGACGGGCTGGCCAGGCTCCTTCCGTTCGGCCGGGTGAACTCCTTGCCCCACTGCGCCGGACACTGCCTATGCAGGGCCAGGGTCGTGGCAGCTACACGGTGGGCCCAGGGCGGGGAGGGGCTGAAAACCGTCCTGGGATCCAAGAACTTCCACCGGCTAGTCGGGTCTTCAGCGATCTTCCTGCAAAAGGGGAAACTGAGTCTCAAAGGAGGCAGGACCTCTCTCCAGGTTCATATGCCGCCGACCTTAAGGGTTGCAGGGCCGCCTGAGACTCTCAGTTCCAGCACAGAGGTTTCCGAGGCTGTAAGGCTGCGAGGTGGGGAGTGGGGAACATCAAGGTCAAAGGTGAAGAGTAGGTGGGGAGGGATGGAACTCTAGCCCAGGAGAGAACCCCACGGGTTCCGCCCACTCGCCCACTCGCGCGCGGGTCCCGGGCATTACCTCATCGCGGCGCGTGCCCATTGGCTGGTTCCCCCGGAGGCCGGCCCATTGCGGCGGAGCGCGTTAACCCTTCCGGCCCCGTGGGCTCAGCCTTGGCCGTGCCACTTGTCCCCGCGGCCCCACGCAGCCTCGGGGGTCCACGGGCCACGGAGACAGGGAAAGGTACTTTGGGGGGGGGAGGGGGGGTGCGGGCCTGCGGCCAGAGGGTTCAGTGGTTAGAGCACAAGTCAGCTAGCCTCGCTGGGGCCCCATCCTCCTCCTACTGGGCTGTGTGACCTTGGGCAACCGGCCTTACCTCCCTGAGCCTCCTCCGCTTGTTTCCTCAGCTGTAAAAAGAAATGAGTGATGTAACTCCTGCCCTTCCTAATCCCTTCCCCAGTACTTGCCAAGTGCCGGGCACACGTGGGCTCCGCGTTCCACATTGCCTCCTCACTGCAAGAGGTGCAGTTATGATTATGGGTTTTCAGAAGAGGAAACCGGCTCAGAGCCGCGAAGCGCCTCCCAAGGTCACACAGCAGGAAAGTCACAGAGCTGGGATTTGACCCTAAGCCTGTGTGCATCCTGACTCTGCATTCCCACCCAACTAGCAAAACCCTGCTTCTTCTGGGAAGTGCTGCTTCTAGGAGCTCCTGGTCCCAAAGGAGTCACATCCCCAGCTAGTCAGAGCATCAGCAGCCACTGTGACCAGATAATACCAGTGACAAGCTGGAGAGCCAGGGCCTCAGGGAGGGAAGGCTTCCTGGAGCAGGAGGGGCTGGAGGTGAACATTCAAAGAGGGAGGCAGGAGGACCTTGGGCTAAAGGCAGAGGATGGATGGATGGATGCCGAGAGTGGGTGTGCAGGAAGTGGGGTCAGGAAGCTCTGAAGCCTGGAGGGTCTCCTGGGGTCAACCTCCTGGTCCAGGGTCGGCCACCCGATGCTGATGTGGAACCTGGGAGGCAGTTCCCCTCTGGGCAGCACTGGAAGTGGATACCCACATACCTGGTGTCTAAGTATTTACAAGTTATAAATCAAGCTAACAAACTGCTAAATAAAATATGTTCTGTCCTTCTTCCTTGACAAATACACCTTCCTAAGGACAAACACACCTGGAAGGCTGCGTTTGTATTTAGAAATCACAGGCTCCTGGGGTCCACACTGGAAGTGGCAGCGTGGGGAGGGGCGGCCCTGGCCTCCAGTTTCCACTCAACCCACTCTTTTCTTTCTGCCTCAGGTTTTGTCCTTTTCTGGGGGTGGGGGGAGGGTGTGCCTGGGTGCTGATGCTCCAGCCTGCATGAGTGAACTCTGCTCACACTCCCTGCAAACAGCCACCCCTTGGTCACCCCTCGGGATTAGAGGTGCCCAAACCGGCAGCTCAGACCACCCCCAGGAGTATGGACCCAGGACATGAGCTGGGGGCCACTGAGCAGGGAATTTCGTGGTCCCAGGTGCCCAGATCACAAATTCCTTGCCCTGTGAGAAAAGGCACAATCAGAACAGGGCCAGAATGCCACTCTCCCCACTGGGACTCGGGTCTGAGAACACCGCTGTGGTTCCCGGGTGCTGCTACAGCCGGGCTGGCCCAAACTGGATGCAGCCCATATCCCCTCTTTTTGGAATTCGCTTCTGACCATCACCTCCCTTCATGCACCCTGACCCTGTTCGGTTCCCAGGTGCCATCCCCAGCTCCTCATCCTCTACCTCCACAACCCCCAGCCCAAGACTTAAGGAGCTTCGCACTTAAAGAAGTCAGCTCCCTTCACCCTGGACCCACTGCCCCTGCCCCAATCCAGGCTTGGCCCCCAGCTCCCACTCTCTGCCAGCCTCTCCATCAATCTGCCCTCTATGTCCCCCGGGAGTTGGCAATGGATAGGGAGGCCTGACGTGCTGCAGTCCATGGGGTTGCAAAGAGTCAGACACGACTGAGTGACTGAAATGAACTGAACTGAACTGAACTGATGTCCCCCAAATAGATCCTTCTAATATGCTGGCCTGAGAGACCACTTCTTTCCCTCTTTACCCATCCCTGGCTCTCTGGTTTCATGACGCAGTGTTTCCAGGCTCCGGATGTCTGCCTCCCCTCAGCTTCTCTTCCTCTCTCATCACCTTTGGTTCTAAGCTCCAGTCCTTCGGACCTTCCCTTCAATTAGGACAGTTTTATGTCTTTTCTGCCCCCCAGGTCTTCACGCATGTAGTTCCCTCTGCCTGGAACCATGCTCTCTGCTCTTCATCTTGCCAGTCTCAGCTTAAGTGGCCCCTCTCCAGGGGACCCTCCTTGAATCCTGGACCAGAGAGATGACAATGTAATGGACTGATTTGCTCTGGAGTTACCTGTTTCAGGTGTTTCCCATCTGGACTGTAGGCATCAGGAAGGCAGACTTGGTCTGTCTTGCTCACTTCTCCATCTGAATGTTGGCAGAGCAGTTGGCCCAGATGAGCCTGCCCTGAACTAGAAATCAGGAGACTGGAAATGGTATCATTGCATTCCATGTACCAGGTCTTGTACACCTGCATCAGTTCAGTCACTCAGTTGTGTCTGATTCTGCGACCCCACAGACTGCAGCATGCCAGGCTTCCCTGTCCATCACCAATTCCCAGAGATTGCTCAAACTCATGTCCATCAAGTCGGTGATGCCATCCAACCATTTCATCCTCTGTTGTCCCCTTCTCCTCCTGCCTTCACCTCATAATATATGCTTATTCCTCAAAACCATTTTTGCTTTTGTTTTGGTTTTTTTTTTTTTTTTTTTGGCCACACAGTGTGGCATGTGAGATCTCAGTTCCTTGATCAGGGATTGAACCGGTGCCCCCTGCATTGGGAGCATGGAGTCCCCACCACTGGGACCACCAGGGAAGTCCTCACTTTTTAAATAGGAACTCTTATTCTTCCCATTCTATAGAATGAGTAGACTGGAGCACAGAGGGTTCAGAGACTTAGGCTCACAACAGACCGAGCAAGCAACAGACCCAGACTGAACCCGGGCAGTTGAGTTCCAAAGCTCAACCCCCTCCCTCCTTCCACCTAGTCCCAGCTGGGCCAGTACCTGGCTGTGTGTCCCTGGACCAGTGTCTCCACTTCTTTGAGCTGAAGCTTTCCTGTGTAGGCAACATAGGGTTGCTGAAGTGGTGATCCCTGAGATCTCTTCCAGCCTGACATCCTAGGGTCTCATGATACTTCCTGGGACGTTCCCCTGGTGTTCTGCCTGTAGGTGAGCACCTGCTCTCGGCCCTGCCTCCTCAGGTCTCAGCCCCGCCTCCTCAAGACTCTCTGTGGAGGTCCTGTGGTTGGTGCCCAAGGACTTAAATGGTTGGAGAACAGTTGGGTGTGAGTTAGGCAAGGTGGATGGGGGTGGTCAGTACTTAGAAGCTGTGGCTGATCTTTTTTTAATCAGTAAGTCTCAGAAAGCAGGGCCCATGGCTCACCCAACCCACTTGACCCCGTGGTCCTAGAACTCATCTAAATTTGAAACATTTCACCTCAGACAGGCAGGAACCCAGAGTGCCCAGATGGGTACCAATCATCTTGTCATCACAGCCAGCTGGTGCTGGGCCTCCCCTCACAGGGACCGCTCATACCCTCCCCAAGCTGAGCTGCTAGGGGCTGAGGTTCAGGCAGAAACAGGAGGCTAGTGGTCCAGGGGGCCTGAGCACTCACGTCCAGGTGCCACTTGGAATGGAGTCCAGCTCAAGTTCCCATGCCAGAGAGGACACTTCACCACATCTCAGGGTTTTGTCACAAGAGTTCTGAGGGATATGCACCCATTTCTCCAGAGGAGGACATGACATGAAGACTAGAGAGGGACAGGGACTTGCCCCAAATCACACAGCCAGGAGGAGTAGTCTGGATTTTGCTCTTAATCACTCTGCCTCAGGTGAAGGTGTTCGAAACATGTTCCTAGACAGAATGAAAGTATGTCTAGTCAAAGCTGTGGTTTTTCCAGTAGTCATGTATGAATGTGAGAGTTGGACTATAAAGAAAGCTGAGCACCAAAGAACTGATGCATTTGAACTGTGGTGTTGAAGAAGACTCTTGAGAGTCCTTTGGACTGCAAGGAAATCCAACCAGTCCATCCTAAAGGAAATTAGTCCTGAATATTCATTGGAAGGACTGATGTTGAAGCTGAAACTCCAATACTTTGGCCACCTGATGCGAAGAACTGACTCATTGGCAAAGACCCTGATGCTGGGAAAGATTGAAGGCGGAAGGAGAAGGGGACGACAGAGGATGAGATGGTTGAATGGCATCACCGACTCAATGGACATGAGTTTGAGCAAGCTCCGGGAGTTGGTGATAGACAGGGAGGCCTGTCGAGCTGCAGCCCATGGGGTTGCAAAGAGTCAGACACAACAGAGCGACTGAGCTAACTAACTAGACAGAATGAGTGAAGGGGTAAGAAAGGTTCTGGAAGAAACTCTGGGGCACAACATAGGTCCACATAAGGGAGTGTTTATAAAAGAGTATGAGTGCCCTGTCTTCACCATCCCAGCCTCTATCCTTTCCTGCTTTTCTTGTGCTGCCTCATTTATTCACTCCTTAGACTCTAAGCTCCACTAGGGCAGCAGTGGATTCTTTCTTCACCATGTGCCCAGCGTGTAATTCCACGCCCGGCACACAGAGGTGTCGGCAACTCCCCCGTGAAGGAAATTTCCGAGAGCAGCAGGCGGCCAATCACGCCCCCTTCCCTGTGCCCTGGCCAGTCCCCTCCTGGCCCTGGCCCCTGCGTCCCCCTCTCTGAATAAGGGGTGTTGTGTGCCACCCTGAGTCTGAGCTCAGGTGAGCTGCCGGGCTCCTGGGGGCCCCTGCCGGGCCGGGGAAGGGACCCTAACACCCAAGGGGCAGTGACGGGGAGGGTGGACATTGTGAGGTTCCTCTTTCCCATCTGCCATAAATGCATCTACCTTGATGAAAGCAGGTCCCTCAGGTCCTTCTCCACACCTGCCTGTCTCCCCTCATTCTCCCGATTCTGGTCACTTGCCAAAATCACTCCTTCTCTAGCAGTTTCTCTCATCAGGGCCAGGCAACCAAGGTGGCACTCTGCTGGAGAGCAGGAGGGGATCTGAGGCTCCAGCCCAGTTTCCCTGTCCCCCCTTCCTTTTCTCTCTCCCCCTCTGTGGAGGCCACGAGTCCTCCTTGCAAGGCAGCTCCCCCCGCCCCAGACAGACAATGCCTGCTACTTGTCAGGAACCCCAAGCCAACCCCACTCCAGGGCTTAGCGCAAAGTGCCCCAGGGTCTTAGTTCATAGGAAGGGCATGACTGAGACACTCAGTTGGGGAGTGGACTCACCTCAAGGATGAGTTGCATCAACCAAAGCTCAATTCATTCACAAACTCAGCCCAGCAAGAACCTGGCAGCCACAGGGACACATCTGAGTCTGACCCCATTTTACAGATGAGAAAGTTGAGACTCCCGAAAGAAGTGACCTCAAGGCTCTGGTGCTGTTCAAGCCACCAAATCCTCCTGAGGCTCTGGAGGGTTGATGCACATGGGAGGGGTTGGGACAGCCGCACCTGGGAGTGTGATTGTTCAAAGCCCAGGTGCCTGTGACCTGCGGGTGAGAGGACGGGGCCGAGAGCGGCTCTACTGGGAGAGTGGACAGCTCCTGGCACAGATAGGGGCGGGTATTCATTTGAGAGGACCTTGATGGAGTGGGACTGGGACAATTTTGGCCATGGGGGGACTTCCCTGGTGGTCCAGCGCTTAAGACTCCACACTTCCAATGCAGAGGCGCAAGTTTGATCCCTTAGTTAGAGAACTAAGATCCCACATACCACGTGGCTTGGCCAAAAAACAAATGTTGCCCATGGGAGGGGATCAAGGGTTGAGCAAGAATTGGTGCAAGGCCTGGATTGTGCTGGAATGGAGAAGTGAGTCCCTGCCCCCACTGGAGTCGGGGAGGGTAAGTACTGTGGCCAGGAGGCAAGATTAGCGGCTGCAGGAGCCCACGGAGGGGCACCACTGTGTGAGGTGTGTGTGTGAACGTGTGTGCGTTTGTTGTGTGATCAGGGCATGTAAGGTGTGTACACCAAATGGTCCGTGTGATGTGTGCGGGGGTGTGTCTGTGGTCTATGGCATGTAGAGCGTGTAAATGTGCAAGTGTGTGTGTGTGTGTGTGTGTGAGCCTTTGTGTCTGTGATTTGTGTAATGGAGTGTGCCTGCGCCTGTGCGCAGTGTGGTCTGTGTAGTGTGTGTGTGTGTGTGTGTGTGTGTGTGTGTGTTATGGGGCAGTGGTAACTAGGACACTCCCCAGGGGAAGAGCTAAGGAGAGATGGCGGAGAAGATGTTAACCAGAAACAGGGAAGAGGAGAGAGGGGGTGTTCCTGGCAGAGGGAGGGAAGAGCACGTACAAAGGCCTCTAGGCAAGAAGAGGCGCCCCTAGCTCTGGAGCACTTGAAAGAGTCTTAGTGAAGCTGGGTGCGGGGGGCAGGGGGACGAGTAGGGAGAGGCAAGGATGCGGGGTGAACCTTTCTCTGATGCTTGAGGGGGTGTGTGTGGGCAGGAGTGGGGGGCTGTGGGCAGGAGTGGGGTGTGGGTCAAGAGGGCTCAGCCACACTAACACACACAGGCCCACGGAAGGGGCAGGCTTGGACCCAGGAGAGATGCTGGGTGGCAGTGGGGGTGTGTGTGGGGAACAGCCTGAGCCACGACCACCCATCTGAGAAGCTGTATGGTCTGGGATCCCAGACCTAATCCCTGCTCAGCCCCAGAGAGCAGCAGCCAGAAGGGTCTTCATTTCCATCTATCCAGTGGGCCCTGAGGTTATAGACCGAAGACCCAAGAAAGAGCCTAAGAGTTTTTTGTGTTTTTGGTGCAGTCCCCGAACGTCTCTGATGGGGTGGGCATTTGCTAACAAGCATTCCCAGCACTCAGGAGGCTGAGGAGGCGGAAGGCGGCAGCTCTGGCCCAGGGCTCAACTGTCAGTACCTGACTTGAGGGCACAGAGGAAGGCGTGGGGGACAGGGCGCCAAGAGCCAGGGATCCGAACCCAGGTCATCAGACGGCCCCACTCACTGGGTTGGGTTCATAGTCTGAATCATGTGCTAACAGCTGCCCTCTTGCCTTCACACTGCATGGTCTCTTCTCATTGGAGCCTTTTCTTATCTCTGACTTGATTTTCAGCCCTGCTTTTAGAGATGAGAAAACTGGCCTGGCCTCACCCCCCGACCCCACAGTGGGCCTGCTCCAGAACCGCCCCCCTACCCACCCACCTGGTTAGGTCTGCTGCTCTGTAGATGTTCCAATGGGTCCTCAACCCTAGGTCCTTAAGAGCGAGTGGCAAGGCAGAAAGGACTTGGGCCCAGAAACCCAGCTCTGCTGCCTACGTGCTATGTGTCTTTGGACAAGTCCCTTCCCATCTCTGGGCCTGGGGGCCCCCAGCGGGACAACTCATTTACTGAGTCTGGGAAGATTCATGGAGCACCTGCTAAGTGGCAGGTGAGGACATGGGACGTTCAGAAAGCCTAAAGGACTTGCTCAAGGTCAAGCAATCGGCAGGAAGCAGTTTGAACCTGGAAACTCAGAGTGTGCCCCAGCCGACTCCACAGCCCCCAGGAGTGCCGTCCCCACCCCTGCGGCCCGCAGCGTGGGGTTCAGGCGCCCCACGCGGTTCCGGACCGTGTCAGCCTTAAGTCAGGCCGGGGCCCCGCGGGGCTCAGCTCTGCACAAACAGACGGCGCGGGCCGGGCCGGGGGCGGCGATGACTCAGGGCCCCGAGACGGCCGGGAAGCGGAAAGTTTTGTGCCGATGACATCACCGGGCCGCGAGGGCGGGAGGGGGCCGGCTCCGGGAAACGGCGGCCTGGCGGGCGGCCCGGCCTGGGGCAGGGCGCGGGTGGGAATGCGGGGCCGCCACGCTCGGCCGCGCCGAAAATGATGCCAAACCCCGGCCCCGGCCCCCAACTCCCCCCCACCCCGCCACCCTCCCGGCCCCGGAGCCTGATCGCCCGCGAGGAGCGGGCTCCACCCCGCCTGCGAAGACGCCGCGCTCCCCAGCGCTCCGGAGGCACCGTATCCATCCTGCCGCGTCCCTGCATTTTAATTACCGCCACATTAATATTCATGAGCCGGGACTCGAGGGGGACCGCGGGCTGTCATTTCCCTCGCCCGCGCACCCCCCGCACCCCTCTTCCCCGGCGGAGTCGCGGGTTTTCTCCCTCCCGCTCCCAGCCCCGCCCGCCCCAACTGTCAATGCCCAGCCGTTGTAGGGTGTGTGTGAGGAAGCCTGAGTGTGAGCGGGTGTGAGAGCCCTGGGCAGCGGTGAGTGTCGGGAGGGAAGGGCCGGGACACACGGTGAGGGGCTGAGTGTGAGGGTGGGCGTGCTTGCAGGGTGTGAGTGTGTGTCTACTTGTGTGAACGTGCGTGCCTGTGGGAGCATGTGCCTGTGGGAGCATGGGCCTGCGTGCACATGCCTAAGCCTGTGTGCGTGCCTCTGCGTGAGCACAGGTCTGTTCATGCAGGTCCGTGCATCCCCCGGGGCAATCCCAGGGGCTGTTTGCCCGTCATGGGGGGAGGCAGCTGTGTGCGAGGTCTGGCCTGGGGCAGGGAGAAGGGATCACAGGGTCTGACTGTACAAGTGGGGAAACTGAGGCCTGGGGAGAGGCTGGGGCTGGTGCAAAGTCACCCCCGGAAATGTGTGGGCCGGCAAACCCGTGCCTCAGGGGCTCCATCAGGCCCCTTGGCAGGCCAAACCACAGACACTGGTCTAGCTAGTGAGATGTTGGGAGTCCACAGACCCGGCTTTAACGACCACTGTGGAACTGTGTGTGTGAGTCCCCGAGGGGATCCCAGGGTACCTGAGAGTTCCTCGGTGCTGAGAATACCCAGGGGTCAGAGGGTGGTTCACCATGGTGCTCCCAGTCCCCGTCCCTTGCCTCCTGGTCCCTTGAAGCCTGCCTGCACACCCCTGTCTCCCAGGCTCACAGAACCCAAGCAGTCTTGCCTCACAGTGGAGCAGAAGGAGAGACTTCAAGGCTCCTGGGCCTGGGATCAGGCAGTCACTCATTCATTCATTCATTTGTTCATCAAACCAGTGTTCAAGCGCCCACTGTGTGCCAGTTACCGTTCTCGGCACTGGGGATTCTCTTGCGTTTAGGAAGAACCCACACGGCTCTGTTCCCAATGTTGGTTGTCTCTACCCTGGGGTGGGGGTCTCTGGGCTCTCAGGGGAGGTTTTGGTCTCTCTGTGCACATGTGCACTGGGCATAGGGGTCTGGGGCCCCTGTGCACAAAACATAACCCCCACCCCCAGCCTTGCCACAGAAGCCCAGCTGCACACACAGGGAGGGCCTGGCTATCGTCTCGGGCTGGGGAGAGCCGGCCAGACAATGCTAGGCAGTCTGGATCTTTGTTTCCCTCTCCTTCTGGGGCTTGTCCTCCTCCTGGCCTCTAAGCCAACTAGTCACAGCGGTGGCCCCTCCATCTTTTCCTGGGTGAGCCAAGGACTTCCTCCTTCTCAAGTCCACCCTGCCCCAGTCCTGTCCTTCTAAGCACCCAGAACAAGCTGACGGTCCCCTCCCCTCCACCCACGCGGGGCTGGGCTGGAACTCATGTCCCAGCCGCGTCCCCTGAATTTTCTTGAGCTCTTGGGGAGCTCTGTGGGAACACAGATAAGGGGACAGGAGGTACAGTTTGGGACTCTCTGGGAAGGAAGTCAGGGTATTGCTGGGCTCCACCAGTCAAGTAGGAATTCGCCCAGTAAATGGTCGGGGGGAGAAGGAGGAAAGGCATCCCAGGCAGAGAATGGCTCAGGGGGGTGACTGCAGCCCCTCTTCTAGAAATCAGAGCAGGCCAAAGGCAAGAGATCTGGGGAGACAGGAGGGATGGACTTTCTCCTGATGAGCCCAAGGCAGGACCGCCTAGTGGTCAGGACTCTCGGATAAGCCCACCCTGGGTAAGAATCCCACTCCCCCTGCACTGTGAAGCTTGGGCAAGACACCGAGCCCCCTTTCTGCATCTGTCTGTTGGGAAGAACAGCACTTTTTTCCTCCTCTGCTGGATTCTATTCAGATTAAGAGACACTTGTCCCTAAAGCACCTAGCACAGTGCCCGGTGCTCCTACAGGGGACAGGCTGTCCTCAAGGACAGAGGGAGGCCCCTGGGATAACTGTCCCCATTTAGCCCAGAAGGGGATTTAGGGCTCAGCCTGTGGCCCACAAGGGGGAGGAGTTTGGTAAGGACAGTCTTCTGGGGCGAGCAGGGACAGGCTGAAGTTGTCAGTCAGGGGAGGCTCAGGCTCCAGGTGAGAGGAGGGTCTCCAGGTCCCACAGACCCAGCCCCACCTGTCTCTGAGAAGATGTTGCCAGATCGCCCATCACTCAAACTGCCGGAAAGCTGGGAGTCAAGAGAGGCGGCCTGGGCCTGGCTCAGTCCTGCCTGCTCCTGCTGCAACCTCCCAGGTCTCTGTCTCCCAGCTCTCTTCTTTCCTTTGAAAATTTCCTTTCTCTTTTACTTTTTGGAGTAGTTACACCTGTACAAGGCAAAAATAAATAAATAAATAAATAAAAATGGAAGGAAACGCTATAAACGTTCGCACAGCGCATCCTGAGCCACCCTCCCGGTCTGCTGGGTGTAGGTTTCCAGGACATTTCCCCACCTACAGAACTGCCTTTTTTCAACTCCTATGGGATGAGACCCACCTGCGCTCAGAGACCTGCAGAGGCTCCCACGTTTATACAGCAAAGCTCACTCTTCCAAGGCTTTCAGCAGCACTTCCTCCTCTCAAGCTGCCGTGCCTTTGCCCTTGCTACGCCAGCCTCTAGGGGCCTTTGCCAGAACTCTACATTGCCCCAGACCAGGCTTCCTGGTTGTCAGGCCTCCGCCCCCTTTCTCAGCTCGCAGCCTCCTTGCCCCTCACCTCTCTCCTGGTGCCCCACAGCCCCGCTGGTCCTTTCATTGTGGTGCTTTTCAAATCTAACTTTCACAAGGGTGTCATAGAGTCATGTGTTCTAACTTGACTATGAGCTTCTCTGCACATTCTTACTTTTGTTGCCAACTACTTCGATGTCTTACACATAGTAGGTGTTTGAAAAAAGATTTTTTTTTTAAGTGTTCAATTTGCTTTTTCTTTAGGGATTCAGTCTCTAAGACAGCAGATGAGGGTTTGAATCCTGATTCTCTCATTTCCTAGCTGTGTGTCCTTGAGAAATTCAATCAACCTCTCTGAGCCTCTGTTACTTCATCTGGAAAATAAAGTCAATACTAACACCTCCCTTCAAGAGTAACAGTGAGATGACAGTGTGTGTAAAACACCCAGCACTGGGCTGAAGCAGAGAGCTGCTGACATGTTCTACTCATGGGAGTTGTTCAGTCCTATTCAGTCTCATTCAGACTTGCCCAAGGTCAACGGTCAGGTTGAGGGCAGCGCTGGGACTGGACCCCTGTCTCCTCCCACTCCAGGGCACCTGACTGCCTCCTGATGAATGAGGCTCACAGATCGCTGTCTGTTTGGCAGATAAGGAGAACAGGGTCAAGAGAGGCCGAGTTGTGACCCCAGGTCACACAGCCCTGTGAGCAAAGTAAGGTTCAGCCTGTCCACCAAGTCCCTGGTAGATTCTCTGAGCCCCTTTCCCACAGCTTCAGTGAGATCCACACCCTGATCAGGGGGCCTCTGGTCCTCCTGGGGGGCCAAGGAATCAGCAAAGAGGGCCTCTTGGCGGCCCGATGGCCCCCACAATAGGGAAGTCACTAAAGCAAAGAGTCCCCACTTATGGGATGCTCACAGGGCCCCTGTATGCTGTCTTCCAGGGGCTCACTCACACGCCTGGGGGACAGGGGCTTGCCTAAGGAGTGGCACGACCAGCACCCTTTCGGCCCAGCCCGCACTGACCAGCACAGGGCAGTGAGTTCTTGCCCGGCTTCGGCTGGAGCTGGAAGCTGGGTACGGCCCAGGATCAGGGTGCTGCCCTTCGCAGAAGATCTGGAGGCTCTTCCCCAGCCCTGGCCCCCGCAGAGCCTGCCCAACTGCATCTCTGAGCCGCACCCAAACTCTTCCAGGCTTTGCCAGGGAGACTGGAAATTTCTGCCCAGCAGCTTCTCTGGGAGGATTTCGACACTCGGCTGAGCGGGGGACGGGGAGGAGCCAGGCTGCTCCCGGCTCAGCGTTCTCAAGGCTCTGCTTGGGGGGAATGGGAGGGGGGCTTTGCTAGGCCTTGGTGAGTCCTTCAGAAATAATTGTAATAACAGTCAACCGGTTCCAACAACAGTGACCCTGTACTGAGCGCCAGACTCTGTGCTAAGTCAAGACTGGTACAGCAACAGTGCCATAGCCCAGGCAAGGCTGGCACTGTTACTGACCCATCTCACAGATGAGCAGGAGAAGCAGAGTGGTGAAGGCGGCCATCGAGGCTACAGAGTCAGAAGCCAAGGCCGGGCCTGTGACATTCCGGAGCCCACGAGGTGCAGGTCACTAGCTGGCTGGGAGCAGGCAGGGCTGGAAGGCACCCAGGGGTGCCTGGGGTGGGGGAAACACTGGGAGCCACTAGAAGCAACTCTGATACACAAACATCAACTATGGCTCGACCAGAAACTGCAGTTCAGGTGAAGGCATGCTTGGATCCTGGGTCTCTGTTAGCAGCCTCCTGGGGGGTACACTGGGACCCCTGGAGACCTCATGGAGTCTGGCAACCTCTCCCCAACCAGTCCTGGTAAACCAGTAATTCCAGACCCTTCCCACCCCTGCCTGGCTCTGGGGTTGGGGGCGTCTGACCCTGTGAGGTCAGATGCTTCAGACTTGCTCACTGCTTTCTAGGTCCCTGGAAAAGTGCGCAGTCAAATCCACCCAGAGGTTGAGGTGCCAGTACAGAGAGCCTCGCCCTTGGCTCCCAGGGCTGTTACCAGATTCCAAGTCGCAACCAGGGGAGAGGGGCGAAGGGAGAATCCCAGGACTCGGGCAAAGGAATGGGGTGCCCAGTGGGGGGGCGGGGGTTTCGGACATCCCGGCCAGGCAGCAGAGCGGCCCGCCGCCGCAGTGATGACCCTTCCTGGACTCAGGTCCCCCACCCATTAAACGGGCAGATCGATCCCTTCCCTCCCCGGCAGCTGGGGATTCAGTGAGCTCCCGGGGAACAGCGTAGGGGGTAATAACGGGGCCACCCCAGGCCCAGCTCCCCGCTCCCTCCTTGTCCCGCCGGGCGCCGCTCCCCGCCCCCGGGGCCGGGCCGCTGAGGGCGCTGCGTGCAGGGCGCGGCGGCGGCGCGGGCCCAGGCGCCCAGTTCAGCGGAAAGGAATGTCTTGCTCGGCGGGGGAGGCCGCGGGCCCCCGAGGCCGTGTAAACCCGGTCGCCCTCCCCGGGCCTCATTTATTGCGGCTCTAAAGCCGGGCTCGTTCCGCCAGCCCGGCTGCTCGCCGGGTCGGCAGCATGACTCACCCCCGCGCCCCGCCGCCCGCTCCAGCCCCCCCAACCCCCGGCCCCTCCCGGCCGCCGCCGGCAGACCCTCTGACAACGTGGGCCCAAAGTCGGGGAGGGGCTCCCCGTGAGGGCGCGCGCGCCCCTGCCGCCGGAGCCCGCCGCCCCGCCCCGCCCCCACCCGTTGCGGCGCCCCTCCCCTCCCTCTTTCCCTCCCCCATTTCCTTCCCCCTCCCCTCCCCTTTCCCTCCGCCTCCTCCCTCCCCTCCCCTCCCCGGGCCGCCCGCCCGTTCCCTCCCCTCCCCCGCTCCATAACTCAAAAGCTTGTCAAGCTGGTTCCAGACTCCTGGCGCCGGGCTCCGCTCCAGGAAAGAAAAAAAGGAAAAAGAAAAAGGGAAAAAGCCGGCGCGAGGGAGCGAGAGGGAGAGAAAAAGGCCCGTAGAGCCACACTGCGCCCCCAGACCCCGTCCCCCCGCCCCCCCAACCCTGCTGGGGAACCCCCGCACCCTGGGGGGCAGAGGGCGCGCTCGCAACACTGATCAATTATTTATGGGCGAATCAATTATTCAGCTGCCCCGGGAAGGGGAGGGGCGGGGTAAGGCCGAGGAGTGGAGGGCGGCTGCAGAGGCCACCCCGCCTGACTGAGGTCGCAGCTCTCCCGCTGAGCCTCGGGGGGTCGGGAGGCGTCCCCACGCCGGGGGTCCTGTTGTGAGAAAACTGCCTCGGGGTGGGCTCCAGGAGGACCGCGGGGGAATCCGCGGAAACAACAGAGACAACTCAGAAACATCCCAATTAGACCGGGAGGCTGGGGGTTGGAAAGAGCTGACTGGGGGTGAAGGGTGGGGGGGTGGGGGGGTGACGTGGGAAGAGCCTGGCTGCGAATTCTTTCCTTTCTGACTTCATTCGTTCCCTTCTTTTTTGCGAGCCCACTGGGGTCCACTGTGCCCAGAGCTTAGGATGGCCCGTGGCAGAAGAGGGTTAAGAGCAGGAATTTTGGAGTTAGTTCCGTTCAGTCGCTTAGTCGTGTCTTTTTCGTGACTCTGCGACCCCATGGACTGCAGCATGGCCAAGCTTCCCTGGAGTTAGAGCTGGGTCCGTTTCTTCGTTTGTACCGTGTTCCCCCTGCGCTGTGCCCTTAGGCAAGGGACTTGCCCTCTCTGAGCCTCCACTCCGTCATCTGCTGGATGGAGAAGAGCCGAAAGAGAACTTGAAAGACGTGGGGTGTGGGAGGAGAGATTCTCTCTTCACTTTGAGGGGAACCTGCCAAGGCTCCCAATGTCCTCCCCTCCCCCCTGCTCCCCAACTCTGTGCTGTGTGTTAATTGATCAGTGTCCAACTTTTTGCGACCCCATGAACTGCAGCCCTCTAGGCTCCTCTGTCCATGGGATTCTCCAGGCAAGAATACTGCAGTGGGTTACCATGCCCTCCTCCAGGGGATCTTCCCAATCCAGGGGTTGAACCCAGGTCTCACAGGCAGATTCTTTACCGACTGAGCCCCTGCCCCCCAACCCCCCCCACCCCCAACTCTGGGTGCTGGATAACCTGCATCTTCTCTTGGCTTCAGACATTTGAAGGTCATTATCAAAACCAAGTCAACCCCAAGGCCTCTGTCCGGGGCTCTCACCTCTGGCAGGCTTCTCACTGCCTGGCCCTTCAAAGGCTAGTGCCTAAGGCAGCCAGAGGGGTCTCCGTGAGCCTCAGCTGGATCTTCTTGCACCCCACATCCCTCCCTCCTCCGCAGCCTCCTCCTCTCCCCACGTCCTTCATCCTCCTTCCAGCCTTCTCTTCCCTGCTTCCCATCCGCTGAAGAGGTTTGGAGCTCTGAGGCCCTGGGGGCCCGGGCTTGTAAGAATAGAAGTGGGTTCAGCTCTCGAGAAGGTCCTGGCCTCCCCGGACACACTGTTCAGGGTGCCAGTATACCCTCCCAGAGCTCAGTAACTAAGCAGGCTTCTGTTTCCAGACTCAGGCTTGCCAAGGGGTTTACTGTCTTCTCACCAAATCTTGTTTTTCAGTCGCTCAGTCCTGTCCGACTCTTTGCGACCCCATGGATTGCAGCACACCAGGCTTCCCTGTCCTTCAGTATCTCCCGGAGTTTGCTCACATTCATGTCCGTTGAGTCGGTGATGCTGTCTAACCATCTCATCCTCTCCCACCCTCTCCTCCAAATCTTAAAACAGCTGTGTGAGGTGAACCTGGGCAGATCCAGGTTTCCTGGGGCCTGAAGCTTTTACCATCTTGGTGACCCTCATTAAGAAAAACAATGCAAAGTTATGAATACAATGTTAAGCCCAAAGCCTTGACAGGAGTCCCTGAACCTGAAGCTTCATTATCTTCTTGGTAAATCGCCACTGGAGGTAGGGGACGTAATTATTCCTTTGCAGAGGTGGAAAGAAAGCTTTAGAGAGGGAAGTCGCTGGCCCAAGGTCACATAGCTGGAAAGAATGCAGCTGGGGTTCCAGCCCAGGTCTTACTCTATGGGCAACACCCTGAAATGCCTCAGTGCACGTACCACCCACCACCTCACCTACGCCATGCCATATCTCACCTGTGCCCACCATGGCTCCAGCCCAGGTAAGGTCAGAGAGAGCAGCCCTTTCCTCCAAGCCAGCCTGTGCCCTCCTTCCCAAGGCCTTCATGCCCCAGCGCTCCAGCCCAGGAGACTGTCTTGTGACAACAGCCACACAGTACCAGGAGGTAGATCTCTTCTGACCTTTCAGTTCCCACAGCTGTTCCTGCTCCTTCCAGAACCCAGGCTCCTCAAATGACCCCAAGGGAATGCCCCCCTGTTAGGTGGTGAGCTCCCAGGGGCAGGGGCTGCTTCCGTCTTGTTTGGCAAAGCATTTTCAGCTCTCAGCACAGGGTAGGTATGGAGCAGACCATTAAAATACATTTAGAAGTAACACCTATTCCCAGTTTTAGGAGGGGATGGGATGTTAGGGGCAGAGGAGACATTGTTAAACTGCAGATACCAGGGTCCCTCCAGACCTATTGAATCAGGCTCTCTGAACTTAGGACCTGGGACTCTACATTTTAGAACTCCCTCAGGTACATCCCAAGCTCAGCAAAGTTTGAGACACCCAAAACATTATGTGTCGACCAAATCCCTCTCACAAAGGGGACTCATCACACCTGGTGGTGGTTTAGTCACCAAGTCGTGTCTTACTCTTGCTACCCCATGGACTGTAACCTGCCAGGCTCCTCGGTCCATGGGATCTTCCAGCCAAGAATACTTGAGTGGATCGCCATTTCCTCCTCCAGGGAATCTTCCTGACCCTGGGATCGAACCCAGGTCTCCTGCATTGCAGGCAGATTATTTACCCACTGAGCTACCAGAGAAGCCCCTCATCACACCTAATTCTGGCCAATTTTACCAGTGTACCAAGCTCACCTTCAAGCTGAAAGCTAATTGTTTCTAATACTTATTAAAGATCAATGGTGTCCCTGGGACTGGATCTGAGGTTTCAGATAGCTGACCTGACTAGACACTCACAAAAATGCTTTAAGAAGTAGAGACAATTATTGTCCCCATTTTACAGATGGAGAAATTGAGGCCAGGTGAGGCAGAGTGACTTGTAGACAGACAAAGAAAGAAAGTGAATTTGCTCAGGCATGTCCGACTCTTTGCAACCCCATGGATGGTCGCAAAGCCTGCCAGGCTTCTCCATCCATGGGATTTTCCAGGCAAAAATACTGGAGTAGGTTGCCATTTCAAGGCACTGGGGAACAAGGAGGTTGAAACAGGACAGCTGTCTGCAGGACCACTGGCCTCAGCAGTGTAACTTACAAGGGTCTCCAAAGGTGAGAGTATATATTCACCGCCTGTGAATGGCTTGGAAAAATGTACAATCACTACAGGGACCTCAGGCTAAGATGTGCAAAAAATTAGGTGACAGACCCCAAAGAAATCTAATCAAGTAAGCCTCTTCTTCCTGGTTATCTTTGGAGTCAGTGTTCTGGGGAATGCATGTTTGCGGAAGGATTTGATGTGTTTGCTTCAGGCAAATCGTTGCCTTTTCTCTGCCTGCTGTTCTGGTACAAAGGGAAATGGCCA